CGCTTGAGCCCAGGAGTTGGAGGTTGCTGTGAGCTGTAATGCCATGGCACTCTACCCAGGGGGATAGCTTGAGGCTCTGTCCCAAAAAAAAAAAAAAAAGAAAAGAAAAAAAAAAGAAAATAATGATCTTTAAACATTTCTGTGACAGGCCGAGCATGGTGGCGCATGCCTGTAATCCTACCACTCTGGGAGGCCGAGACAGGTGGATTGCTTGATCTCATGAGTTCTAGACCAGCCTGAACAAAAAGGGAGACCCTGTCTCTACTAAAAATAGAAAAATTGAGGCAAGAGGATCACTTGAGGCCAAGAGTTGGAGGTTGCTGTGAGCTGTGATGCCATAGCACTCTACTCCAGGTGACAACTTGAGACTTTATCTCAAAAAAATAAAAAATTTGTGACACACCTAAGATTCTCTTGCAAAACACCAGTTGGAAATTACTGACCTACATGCATAATAAAAGCAACATTGATCCTTCCTGAGATATTCCACATAAATGACTTTCTTTTCTATGTTTTTAAATAAACTACTGGATACAATTTGCCATAAGTTAGAATTGCCAGCTGTATCTTCATAAAGGAAATGTCTAATTTTGTTTTTGTAAATCCTCTTCATCTAGTTTTATAATCAGTTTTAAGTCGGTCTTGTAGAATAATGTGGTAGAAAATTTAGTATTTACTAATCCTTCAAAGTGTTTACTTAATAATTCATCAGATTCTAAGTATTGTCTAAAGAACAGTATCTTCTAATGGTCTTAATTTTTCCTTTGCTTACTGAGTTTTCTTTAGCATTTTATCAATTTTGATTATTTTTATCACAAAATATTTTTTGCTTCTTCCATTTTAAAATACATAATCATGTGTAAATATATATATGTATATTCACGAAAATATGCTATATACATTTATATATACACACAGGATATATAAAGACTATAGCAACTTTTAATTTTAAAAATCTATAACCATCACTTTTACCATTCATATGGCTGTAATTAATTGTGCCATCTTTCTTATTTGCATTCCATGATCAAAACTGGCATGGTCTTAACTATATTGATACTTTTTTTTTTTTTGGCTAAGAAAAAATGTCTTAGATTTTTCATTCTTTTATGGTAGTACAATACCAGATATAAATGTGAAAAACAATTCAGTTTAATATCGACATTACGGAACATACTATTTTGATTATACACTATATACTATACACTAAAGAGACAAATTATACATAAATTCTCCTGGAATGGAAACACAAATTGTTATCCTTAAGTGTTAGAACAGTTACGGGTCATGCAGTAAGAAACTGCCAATGTGCTCCTTGGAAACTCTTTTTTAAAAAACATCTTTGGTTGGGTGGCACCTGTGGCTCAAAGGGGTAGGGCACTGGCCCCATATGCCGGAGGTGGAGGGTTCAAACCCAGCCCCGGCCAAAAACTGTCAAAAAAAAAAAATCTTTGGTTAAAGTCTACTTTTTATTGTTTATGCTGGTGCTGACAATAGAAATATTGTCTCAGTTGGCAAGGTGCCAGCCACATACACCTAGGGTGGCGGGTTCAAACCAGCCTGGGTCTGCTGAGCAACAATGACAACTACAACCAAAAAAAAAAGCTGGTTGTTGTGGTGGGTGCCTATAGTCTGAGCTACTCAGGAGGCTGAGGTAAGAGAATCGCTTGAATCCAAGACTTTGAGGTTGCTGTGAACTATAACACCATGGCACTGTACTGTGTGTGAGACTCTGTCTTAAAAAAAACAACAACAATGTAGAATATAAATGTCTTAACACAATAACTAAGAAAAAGACATGAAGGCTATGTTAACCAGTTGATTGAAAGTATTTCAAATTGTATACAGAAACAGTACACTGTACCCCATGATATTATTAATGTATACTGCTATGATTTAAAAAAAAATTAAAAAACAAACAAAAAACCCCCCAGAAAACCAGGTATGGTAGCACATGCCTGTATAGTCCCAGCTACTTGAAAGGCTAAGGCAAAAGGACTGCTAGAGAGCAAGAGTTTGAGGTTACATTGAGCTATGATGCCACCACAGTACTCTAGCCGGGATGACAGAGCAAGACCCTGTCTGAAAAAATTTTTTAAGAGGTGAACCACATTAAGTCTGGACCCTCAATGTTAACTTCCTGAATACATTATAGTGTATTTAACATCCCAATGTGTAGAGCTTTGGCAACATCCACAAGTTTTGATATATAGACATCTTTTTAAAAAATCACTTACTTCTGGCTTAGCACCTATAGCTCAGCAGCTAGGGTGCCAGCCACATACACCAGAGCTGGCAGTTCAAATCCAGCCCAGGCCTGCCAAACAACAATGACAACTACAACCAAAAATAGCTGGGCATTGTGGCAGACACCTATAGTCCTAGCTATTCAGGAGGCTGAGGCAAGAGAATCGCTTAAGCCCAAGAGGTTGAGGTTGCTGTGAGCTATGACTCCAGAGCATTCTACTTAGGGTGACACAGTGAGATTCTGTCTTTTTTTTGCTTTGCAGTTTTTGGCTGGGTCCGGTATATGGGGCCAGCGCTCTACTCCATTGAGCCACAGGCACCGCCCACAAGATTCTGTCTTTAAAAAAAAAAAAAAAACCACTCACTTCAAACTGGTTATAATTTCAAGATTATTTTATGCTTAATAGAACATTATGGAAATTTTCAATACATAAAAGTAGAGAGAACAAGAAAAACAAAAGCCATTTATCCAAGACTTGGCTTAACATCATTCTGACAAACTTAAGTTATTCATCCTCACTCTTCTTTTGCAAAAAGATATTCCAGGCATCATATCATGTGCACAAACTTAACAAATAGACTGTTACATAACCACGATGCTATTATTATCACACCTAATAAAGTTTCTTACTACTATCTAATACTGCAAATATTCCCATTTTCCCAATTGTTGTAAAAATGTCTTTTCTTTACATGTTTGTTAACTCAGGATCTAAATAAGAATCATTCTTTCATTGCCCTTGATTGAAGTCTCTTTCAATTCTAAGAGTTTCACTTTATTTTAAATGCCATCTTATTGGTTGAGAAATAAGAACATTCCTTTTGTGGATTTACCCACATTTTACGTTTGTTTCTTGCTGAGTCATATAATTTGTTCTTGATTTTTCTCTAAACTGGGAGTTAGATCTTGACAATTAAATTCAGGTTCAATCTTTTCAGCAAAATGTGTATATCTTACTGTATCACATCAGGAGGCATATAATATTTTATTGTCCTACTATTTGTAATGCTAAGACTGATCAGGGTATTCAGATGTTGTCAGACTGATCTATTTACTTGATGTAACCTGAGATTCATGCCTCGATCTGTTATTTCATTATGTCTCAACCTTCCTAATGCCGCAATGTATTTTCATTGTTACAAAGGGCTAAAGACCCACAGGTTGAGAACCACTGCATTATGTGCTATAAGATAGTTTTCTAATACAATTTTCTATTTCTATGATTCTGCATTCTTTAGCTGGAATTCTCTAATACAAAAGAACTTTGCCTCAACTTCTGGTTGTCCTGAATGACAGTTCATACACGAAATGCAGGCTAAATTACATTTATTTCATTTCATTTATTAATTTTCAGATTGAGTTCATACTTTGGCCACCTTCATATAATACACAGAAGAATACAGATGATAATAACTAAAATGAAAAGCTTTTCTACGTTCATTTTTTTAAAATAAAGTT